AGCTAGAGATTGATCCATTGCTACTTACCACCAAGGCCCAGTTTCTGTACCCTCTCTCTTGGCTACGCTCTAGAGGCCAAGTACAAGATTAAGGAGACTGATGAAAAAGAGTGGGCATGATCCTTCAGTCTTGAAATCTTTTTGTTCTGGCCCTTTCTTCTGTTTAAAGTAAGTAATAATTTGATTTCACAAACTGAGGTGCCTATGTTTGTTAATTTTGATCATGACAACCTGAAAATAGGACAAATAATTAATTTCTATGGCCTGATGGAAAAGAATAAGTCAAGCAACAGGATCTAAATTTTGTTTATTTAGAGATAGGCACTTGAAACCTATATTGTTGAAAAAGACCCTTTAATGGCTACAAAAATATATAAAAAGATTAAATCCATTCATGTATTTATTTATTCAATTATACAGTGAGTACTTATATATTCTACAAATATTTATGGAGTGACCATTACTTGCTAGAAACTGCTTTGGACAAAAGGGGTGACAGATTCAAATGAAATCCCTGCCTTCATGATGTTGTGTTCTAGGAAGAGAAAGGTATTAGTCAAATACATACATACTATCAAATATACATGAACTATAATAATATTAAAGGTATAATATACATGTACTATAATATTATCTATATACATATGTGTATATATGTCTATATACATATTATCTATATATACCAGGTCTATTAAAAACTATAAATTTTTAGTATATAAAATTTAAAAACACAGAACTGAGAGTTTGAGTAGAAATACAGGCAGTTTCCAAAAATGCTGGTATGTCCTATAATGTAAATACGAAGTGGTAGTTCTAAGTGGATAGAGGACTATACGCATCTATGATTTGGAAAGATTAAGAATAATGCCTGGTGACACATAATGAACACAATAAATTATTATGGTAAGATAGACCTATATCACAACCAGCATGCAGTGAGTAATCAATAAAAGTCTTTTGGGGAAAAAATAAAGTTACCCTAAGCTTAATCAGGAAGAAAGAAGAGGCTTGAAGTAGATGGAGAAGCAGTAAGGACTTGCTAAGCTGAGGGAGCAGAGGCACAAGACAATGCAGTGTTATAGTAGGAGATGAGTTTAGGAACCTGCAGTTGTCGGTTTGACTGAAGGATGGAGTTTGTGGCCTTGGGAAGAAAGGAGCACTGGGAGAGTAAGAACACGGCTCAAATGTCCTTTGCTCTGAGGTCAACGTGATCAGGATAATGTTGAGTGGGGATGAGAACACCAGTGTCCCCTAATTCCCTGCATCCTCCTATAAGACTGTACATTCTAGAAGTTACTATTCTGCTCCAGGTACTGTACTAAGGGTTAGGGTGAATAAATTATATTAGAAACGTCCTCTGAATGAGTTAATAACAATGGTAACTAACACTTTTTGAGTAATTTTCTATTACACATGTCTGTTTTAAGTGATCTCCGTGTATTATCCGGTTAATTCTTAAAACAACTCTAGAAACTAAATACAATTCTCATTCTTTTTATAGATCAAGACACTGAGGAACAAAGTGGTGAATCTTTTCATTATTATGTTTCTAATGTCAGGCATATTGTCTGACACCAGGTTTTCTTCGTTAATATTCTGAATGAATAAATTAACGATGGACTGATGAATCATGTCAAAATCCAAGTTCGCTGGGGCCAGGACAGCACGTTCATAATCAGGTCACAGTCTCCCTGGTCATTGTATGAGATGAGTATAAGACAATAGTTCTCAAACTTTCTGAGGATGATAATCAGCAGAAATTCTTGCTAAAAATTCTAATCTGTTAGATCTGGAGAGAAGTCCCCAACTTTGAATTTTTAGTAGGGTACCCCCAGCATTTTGTTTTAAGGTGACACCTGAGTAAAGGTTAAAGAAAAAAAGAATATTGCTGTACACTATGAGTTGATAATCATTACAGCTAGATATAACACTGGTGGATGATGGTTATGGCTCAGCCTGTCAAAGGATGGAGGAGGTTAACAGTCAATGACAATATAAGGAAATCCTTAGCTACATCCGAATATGGCTACCCATTTAATTGCAAGGCTTCCCAACCCTGGTACTATTGACAGTTTGAACCCTATAATTTTTCTTGTGGGACAGCTGTCAATTGCATTTGATAATCTGGACCCCTCCCTAGATGCCAGTAGATTAGCCCACCCCCCAAAGTGTGACAACTGAAAGTTTCTTTTGATGTTGATAAATGTTGTCAAATTGCCTGTAGTTGGAATCCACTGCCACAGTGAAACAGAGGGAGCTTTCTCCAGTCCCTTCTTGATAAGCAACTTCTGGCCGTCTAAAGCTGGACAGTGTGAAGCACCAGAACTCTTTTCCTATGAGTGTTCCTCTATGAGACACTATGGTTTGTTTGCTGTGCTGACTACCTTCTTGGCTTTTTCCAGAACTCATATGTCACCCTTCTTCCCCCCACTCTCACACAGCTGGTTTATTAAATCAAATGAGATAGGCTGTCAAGGTCAAGTACATGTGTGATATAGCAAATCATCATTCCTTCTTCAGGTTCCTGAGGGCTCCGATCCCTTTTACACAGTTTGCAAGGAATTATAATTAACTATGATGGCAGAATAAAAGTGCTTGAAAGAAAGAAATGAAATAAATTTGAAAATACTTCATAAAATTGGCAAAAAAACCCTAGATTTTTTTAAAAAGCAGGGAATTTTCCAGTATGAAAATTACTCCAGTTCCTCATCATTTACAGCAATTTTTAACTGGCGTGCCACAAACATTTTTAATATTTGTCAAACACATAATATTTGACTATTGAGACAGGGCATTGGCTTTTTTTCTCTTAGATTGTCAAAATAAACAATGATAACAGTCAACACAACAATAGCCATCTGGTGTGAATGACTCAAAACATATCTATTTTTTGTCCAATCAGCACGAAATATATCTTTTGGTGTGCCACACAATTTAGTAATTAATTTATGTGCGTTGTGAGATGAAAAGATTCAAAGTAGCTGGTTTACAAGAATAAACAGGCAACATGTAACTACCCAAGGTGGTATATCTTTCACCTTTCCTTTCCATTAATTCCCCTTAACTGTTTTCAGTATCTTTCAGTTACATATGAAAACAATAAGGGCAAAATCTTAGTATTTTTTGGTATGAGAACCATCAACTACTATTGTATAACACTGAACAGAATCATATTCCCCACAATATATAAGAAATCTTACCTAACTTTACCAAAATGCAAAGGGTAACTAGATAAGTATTTACTATTCACTTCATACTTCTAGTGAATTAATTCCTAGTTCACTGGCTAATCAGATTAGTGAATTAGTGTGTCCAACCAATGAAACAGTTAAATAGTTATCCAAATCGCATTCTTAATTGAAGCAGAAAAAATTAGAAAAAAAACTACCCAGATTTATATTGACATCAACTTTTAACTAAATTTATTCACCTCAAAATCAATTATAATGGACCTTTATTGTTATATAAATTATCTGGTATTAGCTACCTTGACTAACATGTTTTGTGGAAGAGAATAATGCTACCTAATTAACGTTTAGTAGAAGAATAACAAGGGGGTCAATACCTATTTTCAGAGTAGACTAAAAAAGATGCAGAGAGGGAAGAAAAGCCCAACATTGCACCATCTGTTATTCTGGGCAAGAAAATATCTGTAACCTTGTAACCACCGTCCAGTCCCTGTGAGTGATTTCAGAAGGTAGGATAGCAACAGTTAGTTACCTTACCTTCTTGCACAAACACTATTACTTCTGCCTTGAACAGTTTGCAGGGAGATAAATGCTCTCAGTTAACTACGCGGTAAATTGCAGTTCACCCTTGAATCTGGCCCATTACACGTGGTTGCGGGTGATTAATGAGAGCCCCGAAGACCCCAACCCTAGGCGTCATCGGTGGGAAGCGGCGACTTGGGAAGGCATAAAGGCAGAAGATGGCTCAGCAGAGCTAGCCCGTTTCCACCACCATCACTGTCTTTGCCTGCACAGTTGTTCGAGCTGCCAGAGGCTTTCTGGTTGCCATGGCAACTGTTGAGCTCTGCTGCAAACTCAAAGCAGAGCCTCTGAAGTTAGGTACCAAACACTGGAGCTCAACAAACGCACAGACAATCGGGGAGGGAGAAAAGAACAGGAATTACCAGTGTGCTCGGTCTACAACTCCTATGGCTCATAAGGCATTTTTAAAATTGGATTTTTATTGGTTTGTGAAATGAGACAGTTCTTGCCTGACATTATTCTTTAGTATCATCTTCTGGTACCCGGAGATCGGAGACTGCAAATCATCTCACCCATAAAGACAGGGAAAGGGAGATCGGAAACGCGATTATAGGAATGCACTGAGCACTCCCAATTCATTCATTCGGTTATATATTCACCATCTATCTTCTAAGAACCATTTTTTCCCGGCGTTGTGCCAGGTTCCGGGGCTGCAAAGAGAAATGAGACACCTCCTCACACTCAGAACGAATGATAATTAACAAAATTAACAAAACCTTTGAGAGCCTGGGGAAAACCAATTGGGCACTGCAATCTTCCCACGAGTCTCTGAAGACGAATTCAGAATCCAAACGCGGGAGATGAAGGAGGCAGAGGCCCCAAAATAGAGTCGGGCAGGAGAGAAGGCCGGGAGGAAGAGGGAGACCTCTATTCCCTAAGGAGGGAATCTGTCAAGGCCACCCAAACGTTTCCCAGAGGCTCCGAGGGAGAAGACGTTTGTTTTTCTTTTAGAAAGACCGAGCCCTTTTCCCTACTGGGCTTGATTTCTAGTAGGGGGAGACCCGCCCCTTGGGGCCATTGATTGGCCCATATGTTTTTTCCCGATAATTTATGCCAGCATCCGCCCGGTCCGATTGGCTCCCCTGCTCAATTCCGCGGGGAGTCGCATCCCACCTGGGCGGGAGGTGTATCGCCTTCCCACACTCTGGTACTCACACACCGGGCTGCGGCTGCGGCTGAGGTGGGAGGAAAAGTCCCGGCTTGGAGACTTGGGCAGAAAAAGCGATCCCGATGGGTCCTCGGAAAGCTCTTCTCTTCTCCCCTTTCCTCCTGTGGAGTCAAAGTAGAGGGGTGCGGCTCATGTTCTTGTTACTCACCCTGCACCTGGGAAACTGGTGAGTGAATGCACGGACTGGACACTACTCTTTGACATCTGCCCCCTCCCCTTCATTTCTCTTTCCTTCAAAAATCATTCGGAGTTAAGCAGTTTTCATCCCCCCAGGTTCACTTGTGATATTTTACCATCATTTTCTTTTCTGATTAAGTTTACTCATTTTCAGATAGAATGCAATGAACCTATGTGTGAAGCATTGGAGGGTAGTCCGGTTGTTTTGACTTGAAACACAGTCAAAACTAGTCCAGGCTCTTACTGGGGAGGAAGAGTAGAAATGGTTTTGATACTAAGTTTAGTAAATGAATGCCATTGATGAACTTCCTGATGATTCTTCATTTTAAAGAAAAAGTTATTTTAGAAACTAATAAGTTTCATATCATGGTATGTATGATGCTTTTCTAATGCTAATGTTGTTTTCCTTACCCCTCCCCCTTCTTTTTTTTTTTTGCTTTTCTGGAAAAAAAGTTTCATGTCAAGAAAAATTATAACTATAGCTAAAATCTATTGGGATCATATGTTATATTTGTGTTAGAAATAACAATGTGTATTTTATTAAGCCAAATTTCAATGATTTTTATTTTCATTGCCTGCCTAAAAATAAAAATTGGTAAAAATTGTATGGTGATATAAATGTTGTCTTGGCTCTCTGTGTGTGCATATTTGTGTGTGTGTGTGTGTGTGTGTGTGTGTGTGTGTGTGAGAGAGAGGGGGGGTTACCAACCCCAAGCCTCCAACTCCAAGCTCCCAATTTAACAGGAACAAGACTTGGCCTGCTTGGGTTGTAGTACCTTTCAATAAAACTTTTAAATCATGTTAAAAAATAAGTTGCTCAGGTATTGCATCTGGCTATATGATTTGCTGATGAACAAAGTTAAAATATGTTGATTAAGACATAGACACTGTAAAGGTCTTAGACATACTACTAATATTGTATAACTGTTATATTAAATATACATTTAAAGTGATATTATTGTATAATGTTTTTCTGCTTAGAATTCAAGAGTAAAATGCAATTGCTATGCAGATGGAAGCATACCTTTATAACTACTTGCATCATTGTTAAAATGAGTTATTATTATGATTCATTTAGTATATATTGAGTGAATATTTTCATTAATACCAACAGATAAAACAACCACATTTTCTCTCTGAAAATAGAGAATGAATTAAAATATGCTGAGTAATATTAGAAGTGACAGAAAATGTTTGACATCTAATGTTTTTTTTAAAGTATTACAGTTTTAGTTTATTTACCTTTTTCTATAGAAACTTAAATGTTCTGGGCACAAACATACTACTTGGTTAATTGTATATAAGTTGTTTCTTTGACTATATTATGGAAAAATTATAGAAGGGATTTTGAAAATATGTATCAGTGTTCTCAGGCATCTTCAAAATATTAGAAATGAATCAGTGTTCTCATAAATAAAAGCACATTTAGCCAGTGGTTTTCTGAAATAACCTGTATTCTCTCTTATTATTATAAGTGCAAGTTTCCTTTGCAAGCTAACAGACAAGTTGCTTACTAAAGGACGCAGAGAGTTGTTTTGTTTTAAACAGTATCTTTTGTTTTTGACAATACTTGCATTATGATTGTCACGACTGGTTCTAGAAAGCTCTTCAAGCTGCTCAGAATTTAAAAAGTCATCTGTTGCAGTGGACAGAGGTGGGTTCTGGCAGTCTGAAGATGACTTTGGGTGTCAAGAGTCCTGACCCCTGAAAGGTTTCTTCATCATGGAAATTAAAGGCAGTAGTAGGTCATCAATGACTGCTTCAACTCTTCACATGCAATGTGTGCAAGATCGGAACTGAAACATCAAATAACTCAACAATTGTTTCAGTGACTTTTCTTAGTAGTTTTCAAGAAGGAAGGTCTAACTGGAAATTCCATGTACTTTCTGTACCATTTGTATGAAGAAGTGAGACAGAAGAGGTGTGCAGTTCAAATCAACAAGTAATTCCTTTTATCATAGTACTATAGACAATCTGTACTATTCATTCTAGACAGTGGATCAAGACCTAAACAATAAAACTGTATGTTGTCATTATAATGAACTCTTAGGTCCTCAATTATGAGAATGTATTTCTTCACTTTTTAAAGGTAGTTACAGTATTTTGGTGAACTTTAAAAAATATTTAGTGGAAATGATGGATGTAAACATATAAATCAGCTATATTTCTATTTCTTCCCTTCTTCTTCTTTTGAGGAACCTTTTCAAAACCATAGATGGTTGTTTATAAGAATTGTGTTGTCTTATGCTTGTTTCTAAAGTAAATCATCAAAGTCATCTATTTTGAGATTCATCAAATTGGAAACTCTTATTTCTGATATCTCAGCAGAGACAAGAGCTTGTTTCCTCATTAGTTTCCATCAAGAGCACAAAGGAGAGACAGAATATTGATTTTTGTATTGCTGGGCTACGAAGACTGATCTCATTGTTGTAACTAATGCGAGGTCATAGCTTCTGTGTTTTGTTCTCCACAAGCCTCTATGGCATCTTGACAAGTTACTTACAATCTCTTAAGCTTGATTTGACTTATTTGTAATGTTGGGAAAAAATAAATTTTAATCAGTGTTCTAAAAGAGTTGAAAATTGTTTTGATATTTTAGCTTTTCCAAAAAGTGATTTATAATAAATTTTGGCGAAGAAGGTATATTTTGAAAGAGATCAAGAAAAATAATTTGATTTTTAAAACAATTTTATGAATTGGTAATATACAACATTCGATTGCCCAAATAAAAATATCCAAATACACTTGCTTCATAAAGTATATAATTTCAAGTAATTTCAGCAATATATTTTGTTGAGGGAGTTGTGAATGAATGGTTTTTGTTTTAGTCATTTAGGCTTTTGCTTAATTTTCTAATATATACTAATGATTACCATGCAAACATGAGGGCAAAATAGCTAAATATGATGTTATATGATAATTAAATATTCAAAAAAGCTGAGAGAAAATGATTTTAAAGGTAATTCAAATGCTATAATTCACAAATCCCTTGTGTATATAGTCTTTTAGGTATACCTGTATTAAAATGTTATAATTTACCTTGAGGCACAGGCTTTTAACTAAGCAATGAAAGAAAATGTTTGACATTTCATTCAAACAATGAATGGCTAATTTAATATTACATATTTATATTAAGATGGTTGAAATGTGGCTAAGAAAATAACAATGAAGATGTAGTCCCAAAGGAGAGGAGAAATAACAGGGTGGAAAATTGAACACATTACTGAATATTATCAATGTATGATATATCACTGCTGCAGGGTAATGGGGACAAGTGAGCACAAACTGAATATATTGACCTCAGGAGAATAATTCACATGTATGAATGGCACCAGTAGAGAATCCCAGATTTTATCATCAGATGTAACTTCTGGTTTCAGCTCTACCATTTTCTACCAGGCAAGTTTTTGAGGCAGAGAATTTCCATTTGTGAAAAATAAAAATGATATGTATCTTTCCATATTATTTCAAGATCAAGATAAAAACATTTATGGGAAAAATGTAGTACTGAAACTTGTAACTAAAAAGACATAATAGCAGATACTCTGTGGAATTACATTGATTCTAACATTATTTATCCTCTTTACAATGGTTTTAAGGACAATAAAGCAAAGTCATTGGATTCTTGTGCATTAATATCTTTTGGATTTGAGATTGATTATTCTTTTACAACAAACATTTATTGAATGCCTTCAAATGCTAGGTTTATGGTGTTGAATGGTTTAGACATGAGTACTGTATACCTGGAGCTTAACTCACTGCAAAGACCTTAATTTATATGGTAATCAAAATAAAGCATCTTATAGTTAAAATAAGGACATATACCTTTAGAACTTCAAAGGTAAACAGAAGAATCTAAAGTTTTAAGGATAGGGAAGCTGATGGAATAGATCTCAATCAAGAAAAAAGAAGGATAGAGTATTGAGATGTCTCGCAGTGCTGCCAGAAGACTATGGGCAAAATGTCCCCTAAATTCTAAAATCAACTGTCCAGCCTAGACGTTATACCTAGTAATGTCACAAAGCAAATACAAAGGGAGATAAAGCCTAAATACTATTGCTCTACCCATGTTACAACTGGGGAGACTGGAGCATCGTGATTTTTAGGAATTTACTAAAGATCATCTTGCTGGTAAGTGCCGAATCCAGCAGTGGATTCTAGTTCCAGGGCCAGAGTGTGCATTGTAAACCACCACACCTCTGAGATCACAAATGTAAGCCAAACCCAATAACATGACTATGGGTGAAGGAAGCAGGAAGGAAGGGAGGACAGACAGAGGGGAAAGGGAGGGAGGGGAGTGCAGCGGATAGAAGGACAGTAAGTGTAAAAACCTAGTGTGTACCTTTCACGTGATCTGAAATATATATAGTACAAGAATACTTATTTTGGTAAAAACTAACAAACTGGCATACTTGATCTCTGAAGATCACCATAAGATAAAGTGTTAAAAGCAAGAATTTTGGAATTTATGTTTCACTGAGGAATCAAATGGATATTTACTTTTAAAGGTGCTACGTAAAACCATAGTTGAATTTATTATGTCCATGGGAAAGAGATGAACCAGAGCCAATTAGCAAAAACTATGTGAAGGGGTTTTTCTTCTTCTTTTTTGAAAAATTTATTTAGTTATTTTTCAAGTACAGTTTTTTGTCTATTTCTCCCATCCCAGCCTCCCCCGCCCCGTGCTCCCCACCTCCCTCCCATTTCCACCCCCTTAGTTTTCGTCCCTGTGTCCCTCCTATTTGTTCCTCCAAATCCCTCCCCCTTTTCCCCTTAAATTCCCTTCCCTCTCCCCTCAACAAAACAAACAAGCAAGCAGAAAAAAAAACAAAGACACTGAAATAGAGAACAAGGGGACAGCGACCAGAGGGGTTTTTCTTCTAATGCAAATGGTCTGTGACAAAATGAGGGATGCCTTGTCACCAGGCTTATTCAAGCAGAAGCCTGTTCTTGCACTCTGTGGGATGCCAATGACAATACATGGTATTT